TCCTCTCCCGTGCAGCCACCGCAGACAGGTGAAGCTGCAGCTTCCCATCTCCTGGAACAGGTGCCTTTGCTCGCAGCCAAGCTGCTGAGAGCTGCTATGCAGCAGCCAGGCTGGCAGCCCGTGGGTCCGTGCTGTGGGAGGCTGGCAATGCAGCAGTGGGCTGGGTGCTGATGGAGCAGCCCCGGGAGCTGCCTATCATTGCCCTGTCACAACAGCCCGGTGACTGGGACTTGTTAATGTGATAGTTTCTCTCCCTGGTATGTAATATAATAGATTTGTCAATGTTTGTGTGCTTTGGGTTGTGGGTTTTGTTGTTGTTTCTTTTTTTTCCATGTAGAAATATAGCCTTATGTAAGCCTGGTTCCAGGACTGGAGCAACAAATTTGGAAAGCAGTTTGAGGTAGGAGGTTAGGTGAGCTGCATATGCCAGCAATGCACACAGCTACTTTATGTGGTATATTTAATATTGTGTAAATTTAATTTATTCCCCAGTTCTAACAATGCTTTAATGGACTGTGGGTTGATGTATACAGAGCACTGTGCAGTGATATAAAATGCCAGGCCTGTCTCCTAAAGTTTTGCTATGTCATTTCTATGTAGATCATAGTAATAAGTTGAACAACCTAATTAGAAATTAACTGCAAATTTTATAAGTGAACTTCTCAAGTAAGAAGGAAAAGTTCTCCACTTAAATTTGGGACTTAAGCTAAGCATTTAACTGCATATAGAATGAAAATAGCTTATGGCTCATTTTGTGCAGTGGTTCTAATTTCATTTCAGGTTTGTCTGTAACAGAGAACCTGCCATCCTAAGAAAGGGCTTCAGCTCCAGTCCCAACTTTAAATCACAGAGCCAGTGCCGCGGGGATGAAACTGAGGAGCAAACCAATATTTAGCTGTCCAGATGTACGTGGAGGGCCGGTTCAGCCTTCAGCAAGGGGAAACTTCAGTGCTGTGTCCAAAATTTCAAGGTGCTGAATGAGAAGTTCATCTTCCTGGCACCCTGACAGCAAATATTGATCAAATAAACCTGAGTGCAGAGAATTTGCAGGAACTAGGCGGCTGCTCATCCAGCTAACCACACCTCACCTGGATGGTAGCAGCTGTTAGGAAAAAATATTGGTCTGTTGACTGTGTTAAATGGATGACACCGCCTCTAATAAAAATATATTATAGAGAAACAGGGCAGGGGATGCCTCCCGATACCTGTCTTTAATCTCTGGATGCTCTGAATCCCCAAGATAAGGTAATACATGAAATGCATTCAGAATATGATGTTGAATAGTTTTTTCAATAATGAAGGTAATACTGATATATCCAAATTAGTGATTAAGCGACTTGGGTACAGACAGCAAAGCAGCTCTAGCAGTGATGAATCATCAGAGCCCCTCAGAAAGCTATTCAATTCTGTGGTTAGCGGATACAGAGCTCCTCTGCTGGGATTACATGGCTCCCCAACTAGAGGCTGGATGTTGTAAAGCTTATTTAGATGACCTAGAGCTTTACTGGAGACTTTAACTGGACTGTAACCAAGCACCAAAAGAAAACAAGACAGGGGAGTCCAAAAATGCAGGTGAGTGCACTCAGACAAAACTGAGGAATGGAGGACGATGATGTGAGATCTAGTTATAGGCTATAGGCTGGGAGTATGAGTAGAGAGCTGGTGGGACTCACAATCTTCCCTCCCCTCCTTCCTTTCTTTCTTTCTTTAAAAACAAACAATTAACCAAACAGCTGCTTCAATTTTATGTGGCCTTCTAATGAAACATTGCCCATAAGCCTACAGTATCTTTAAGACTCGTATGAAGGAAACATAGCTGTAGGTCTTCATTACACTTTATACTTTCGGAGCAGTCTCATTGGAGATGCAGAATGTGGGAGGGTAACCTGTGCAGGAGCAGCAGACGCTCCCCTTTCCAGCCTATGTTCTTGAAATACAAGAATTGATGGCCCATAACACTCAATTATGAATTAGATTTTGCTTTTTCTATTTTGTTTTCTGAAATACCTCAATAGGAAGGAAAGCATAAAAAATGTGTTTGCTCCAAGATGACAGAAATGTGCTAATCAGTAATCAAACAGTTATTACCTATTGGACAGTTCTGTTTTTCAGAGACTGAAGACAGTAACAAGAGGTAGCATTAAATCCAGAAAATGACTGGGTGCATTCCGATTTCTCCAGTTTCTGCAAAGGCTTATTTTGATTTCCTTCAAAGAGATCTGAGAGAGAGTCTGTATGAGTCACCTGCACTTCCACTGGTAGGCCAGAAGGCTTCATTGAAGGGAAGTCCTGCATGGCCACCCAGTATGCCATCACACTTGGGTTGCGTGCAGCCTATCTGCAGGCATCAGGTCAAACCTTCGTCTCCTCTGGAGACTCTTTGCCTTGATGAACACAATGGGCAGAATACCCGTGAACGTTCAGTGGCTGGAATTTTGCCATTTTCAGTGGGAGAACACGTACAAATTAGACTGCTTCACTAATCAGACTGTGCCACTGCTTAAGATTCATTTCTGTTTGCCTATAGCTAATCTGCCTAATATGAAGTGAAGAAAGGGAATAATGGAGCTATCAGTCTTGACAAAACACATCCAAGCAGGTGGTGCTCAAGTCACTGCTTAAACTTCCCTGGGTGTGGGATAGGAAGACAGCAGTCAGGGAAGAATTTAGTGGTTGTCCATTCCGATGGGAAGACAGAAAAAAAGAAATGCTTTTCTAGGTCTGATGACAGCTAGCTTTGGTTGCTTTCTACTTAGGAGGCTTTCATTGTAACATTTTTTTCTTTATTAGCAAACCAAAATAACAGAATAATAGCTAACTCCTATTAAAAAATTACCAGGGGAGACAAAGCAGTGCTTATAATAAAATTACTGCTACAACCTTAATTAGGGCATGCTGCCAAATACCTCTGTGATGAAAAACAAATCAATATAATGATGTTTTCCCATTACCTTTTGTTTGGGGAATGAAATGTCACAAAATATTTTGCATATTTCGTCTTGGAGACCAGGCTGTATTGGACCAAATTACAGGAGAACATTAAAGGATTTTGTTTAAAATTGGTATAGGCAGACAGACAATTCCTGGAACCAAAGGTTGAAAACATTTTTGCTTTCTAATGAGAGCAGAGGATGCAGCACTGGTACTTACTGACTATAAAAGTTTCAAATATAGCGTAGAATCTGACTGGACTAAACATGGTATATCTGCTTCCCTTTTTCGCCCACCTAGACGTTGTTTCAACTAACCTGAACCTGCTCTGGCAATTCATGCCGTGCTGTAAGGTCCTGCCCTTCTGAGGTGACTTCTCCCCATGTACCTGCCATGCAGATGCTCACTGCTGCTGGAGCTCCTGGCCGGACATGCTGCCTCTCAACAGGGCATATCCCCAGCACCTGATTCAGTTTTTCCCTTATCTGCCATCATGCATGCTTTCACAGGAGTTTGTCCATGTAAGAGCTGTCTAAACAATGAGCAAATGGTTCAGAATTTGGCTGTCTTTTATAAATAATGATTCAAAGGTTTGATTTAGATACAGACGAGCCCAAGCCACAAAAACTGCAGATGGCTCCCAACAGCATCAACTTGCTTTTTTCTTTCCCTATTGCGTTTTATTTCAGCCAGAGCCTGGCCTGAAAGTCCATGTGGAAAGACAAACTAACTGTGAACCAGACGCAGACATCAGTGCCCAGGGTGCAGCACGTACCAAGATAGCCCACAGCCACCTGCCAGCTTGCCACTGACCTTTTATCTGCATAAATAGTTGTGACCTTTGGGCTGCTCAAATTAGTGCTAGCTGCTCACCCAGGCCAGCATCGTGGCCCCATCGTGCACAGGCCTTCCGCTACTTTGACTCTGTTGCCTTTGCTTGGTGAGCCAACAGGCAGGGGCACTGGGCTGGTGGCCTCTGTAAGCTGCAAACATTAACTGAAGCCTTCATCCACCACTGAAGGTCACAAAAACCAAGGGAGGGGTCCTGCCCCCTGTGTTGCCACTTCTTGTAGGGCATGGTGAGCCTTCAGCTGCACTCTTGCTTGGGGCATTAGTTCGGCATGTCCTTCAGGAGAAGTCCTGAAGGAGTTTTAAAATCAACAAAAAGAAGTCATTACCAAAATGGCTACTCTTTCAGTAAGCCTCAAAATGAGTTATTTTGGTTAATAGAGAAGTAGTTCATTACATCACAGATACTTCTTTCCAATAAAGTCTATGTTTTATTCAGTGGACTGTTAAGTTGTGTAGGGTTTAATGCACATTATTTTCTCAGTAGATGAAAACTAGCATGCTCTCTCATGTAAATAAGCATTTAGTTCTAGTTCCAAATGCAGCATTTCTAATCCTGAAACCACAGCAGTTTTGCTTTTTTTTTTTTTAATATATATATTTATGTATGTATTTGCATGGTTTTACAAGCATGTTCTTTCAGATAGCTGACAATATTGACTAGGTCTGAAAAAAGAAGAGTCGGATACTTTAAAGACATAAAGCAGAAAAAAAATTAAAAAGTTCTAGGTTCTTTAAATTGAAGAGTGCATAGACATATTCCAGAGAGACTTTACTATGCGTAAAATTTGTTCCAAAGCTCCTGTCTTCTGCTTAACTTTAACTAGAGCTTTTTTCTTTTTTTTTTTTCTCTGCTATAGTCATGGGATAGTGGATTCCAAGAGCATTTTTCCACCTGATGTCCCTTGTGTGCACAATGCTTTAAAAATTCAGTTGACTCCTTTCAACATGAGAGACTGGAGACTTGTTAAGTTGCACCAAGGCGAACTATCAGGCACAGAATGAGAAGGTGCTGTTTACAACCACAGCCCTTGCTGCCTGCTTTTACCTATGACAGCTGTGGACAGGAATAGGAAACCCCACAAGGTTGGGAGGTCAACTTGTTTGACTTGGCTAGCATCCCCGGACTAGCACAAGTCATAGAATGGCTTGGGTTGGAAAGAATCTTAAAGCTTATCCAGTTCCAACCCCCTGCCGTGGACAGGGCTGCTCCCCACCAGCTTGGGCTGCTCAGGGCCCCATCCAACCTGGCCTTGACACTTCCAGGGATGGGGCATCCACAGCTTCTCTGGGCTGCCCATAGCTCAGATGTACAATTGCCTGCAGAAAGTGAATCCCAGCCATAGTTTTTAGCTCCTTCTTTTGTTTTATCTTTTACAGCAGCTCCGAAAGTGCATTCATTTGAAACTTCTTCTAAAAGCAATTTGGTTTGCTTTCACTTGTTCCACGTTTCAGCTATCTGGCCTTCCCTATCTGTGGCTGCACCGGCAGCAATGCTAGCCTGAGCCACTCACGGGTAAATAAGAAGTCAACACGCATGTTTGCAAAGCATGTTTAACTTGCGTCTTTCATCTGTGATTAATATTAAATCTATTGAGCTACATAAATAAGTAATTCACTTACAGACCTGTCAAACCAATAGTGATTTCTTCCCCTCTGAAGCTCTAAGCTATTCGTTCTAATTGTTTAATTTCCTTTTGTGTACCTGGAGATAAAAACAGCCTGCTAGGCCACTTCCACTTGGAGAGAAGGGCGGGCTGCCCAGTCTCTTCTGCCTCCATCCCACTGCATATAAGGTCTGCAAATATCCTTAAAAACCTTGAGTCATTTTGCACATCATTTCTGTGGTGGTAGTTTGTGCATGGAAAGTGGACTCCTGCTCGGCCTTCTGGCTTGGATCACAGCCCTGCAAAATCATCTCCACCAAGAGACTATGGATCTGTTTCTGTTCTCCTGCAAATGAAATTAGGAAAATTATATAAACATAAAACCACGGGGCAAATGAGAGGAAACTCTTGTTTTCTCTTTTGTGTTGATATGGAGTTGTGCTCCTTGAACACTAATAAGGCAGTGCTCTTGTGGAAGATTGAGAGCATGTATTCAGACCCCTGGCCTCCCAGCGACTGTGCTTAGCACTCAGCTTCTTTACAGGTAGTTTACAGGTTGCTTATAGAGAAGAGTATGAAGTTTGTTTGAGGGAAAATAATCCCCAGGTAGGGAAGTCCCTTCTAGCTAAAGAAAGCACAGGGAGTCGAGAGGAAACCTCATCCCCTCTCTAGTTCATCTAGGTGCCTGTATCAAAGCAGTAGGGGAGGATCTCAGCAGCAAGGGATCCTTTCCCAAACGCACTTGTGTAGGACCTCTCTTTGGAAGCAGTGATGAGAGAGCACTCCCTCAAAACCCACCCCAGCACCATTTCAGGCTGGTGGAGGTGGTGGTATTGGGCTACAGCTCTCAATCTGTGGGAATTTTCCTCCTCCCAGCATTTGCTGCATATGTAAAGCCCTGCATAAGCCATTGTTGTCTCTGGGATCTGGGGGTGGAAAGAGGAATGGAAGAAATCTTGAAGCAGAATATATTTAGCTTCCTTCCCTTCCAGGATGCTTCTTCACACCTCACTGTTCAGCGCATCCAGCCCTGCACTGAGCAGGGGAAATGCAGCAAAACCAGCAGAGCTTTCTGCAGCAATGAAGGGGCTTTCAGTAAAGCAGCCTCAGTACTGAAAACATGAAAGGAACACCATGGTTATTTATCAAAGGACGTTTCAACACAATCCATGTAAGGGATGCTAAGTTAGTTCCTAACACTATTTAGGTATACTGAAAGAAAGGGAAAATGTTGCTGTGCAGAAATAAAAAATGGGATCAAGATTACTGGCGAAGGGCAGAAATGACATTTACTAAGCTGCCTTTTGCCTGTGATGTTTGTTCTTTACTGTTTTTCACTTAACAAGACTGCAGAAGGCATTACTTGTCCTTAAAGAGTGCTACTGCATGCAGAGAGGAACCAGACGGTGGTTATCTGCTGTAACCGAAAAGCTGACATTTTGAAATGGTCATTATTCATTGCAACTGCTCAGATTGAAGCCATTTCACATGGAAACAATTAAGAGGCAGAATGCATATCATAACAAAGGAATGAGAAAGAAAGATCAGGAAATACAGGCCGATTGGATTAATCTCTTAAAATGAATACCATATTTACTGCTAGTGATTATAACAAATCTAAGACTTGTATTACCACTGGAGAGCAGACATGACTGAATTGCAGATTTTCTCATGCAACTTCAGAGGAAAAAAAATAAGATTATTGATTGATTTATAATTTAGGTCCAGAATGGAAAAAACTGTATCTCATTTCATATGTGTGCGGGATGGAAGGCGCCTGCAAATAATGAATTCTAAAAGTGGTCACAACTGGAAATCACAGAGAAATGAAAACCAAATTGGAATTCAAAACAATATAGTCCATTTGTATTTCTGTAAAAGCAAGGGAAAAATGAAAATGTGCATGGAAGGGCATCCACAGGGATTTGCACATTCTTCTCGAGATCAGTCTAAGTGCAACTGGAAAGAAGAAAAAAGGATAAAGAACAAAATCCACTTCTAAAGAGGCGTGTTGTCTTACATGCAGGAGATATGGGGGCAGGGTTTCTTTACACTATCAGAGAATGAGCGAGGTAATTACTGGAAGGCATATATTGCAATAAAGATTTATGAAACACCATTTAGTACTCCTTTCTGGTTGAGTAATTAAACCAACAGAATATCAGCACTAAACGGTGTGAGATAGATGAGACACCACGAGCCATATACAGCCCGGAGCCAGGATGTCCATGTCCCTCAATCCTAAAACAGTCATCTGTGTTTGCAAGGAAGTTTGGAAATCACTTAGAGAAGATATCAATACTGGATCTCTTAGTGGCATAAACATCACACCTCTCTGCTGTGTATACATTCACACACAATTTTGTTATGCCCCCCAAAATGAGTGACTTAAACTTGTACAGTTAAGTGACAGCAAACTACCCTCCAATTCCTTCCCCCCTGACCACTGTCTGGGAGACTAATTTTTATTGCCATTGAAATCAATTTGAGTTTTATGACTAACCTCACTGGAGCCAGGATGCAAGCAGCTAATGGTCTGCTGACAATAGCTGGGAACTGGTGCAAGTCAGAGCAGAAATATTTAATGCCTTGTGACTTTGCGAATATTTCATTTGCACTGTCAGCTTACCTGGCAAAGGGGATTTCAGGTGTGGAGGCATTAATTCCTCTTCAGATATCCAGTTTTTCCCCTTAAGTACAGAATCACACCATGGCTGAGGTGGGAAGCGACCTCTGGTCCAACCCCTGCTCAAACAGCAAGCTGTCCCGTGTCCAAGAGCCACATCCAAGTGGCTTTTGAGCAACTTGAAGGAAGAAGACTCCACAGCCTCCCTGGGCAACCTGCGCTAGTGAAAAACAGTAAGTCCTAAGTGGAAGGCATCAAACATCTTCAGGAGGCCGCGCGTGCACTATACAAAATTAGCTAATACAGATGGAAGAGCAGAAAGGCTGAGGGCACATCTGAGCCTCTGCAGGGGCAGAGCAGACCCAGTGTGTTACCTGTGCTATCTGCCTCCACCATCCTCATCCCTGCACCTCAACAACGAGGGATATTTCACAGTCACACTTCTTTGAAAGTAGGGGCTGGCGGGAAGAGCTGTGCTGCTGAGGCATGTGATGTTTGCCCACACTGCTCCCCTCCTGCTGGGGCCTCAAGCTGTAATTATTCCAGGTTACCATTGGACTTTCCAGTTGGAAACTCGTGCCGTTTCCATTCCTTTCCCATCTTTCAGAGATGCTTTTGCCTAAAAAGTAGTCCATCTGCAGAAATCAGCATCTGCAGAAAGAGTCATCTTGGGTGCCATTCTAGAAAGGGCTCCATTTGACATAGTTTATACAGAAGATCCCTTTAAATAGTAAAACTTTCGCACATTTGTATTCAGAGCTGTTACGATTTTATTTTTGAAGGGAATGTAGGTGTTCGTGAGCAGTGGGTGGGAGACTGACAGCACTAGACCAGAGCTCGCCATTGCGGAACAACTGCTGCATAGCCTACTATACTGCAAACCTCTGTGATGAAGACACAAAGGTTTGAGATAGGCTGTCCTTCTCAAGCCTGTTACTGTTCCTGTGCCTGTTCTCTCCTTGTGCTCAAAGGGAATCAGCTGCTAAGATGGCCTGTGTGTGTGCACTTGCAGGAGCAGACACAAGATTACCAGGCCTTCCAGATAGTAATTACTTTTAAGCTTTAGCACTGCATTTGGATTTTGCACTCCAGTGCCAAAGAAGTAGCTTTCTGTGCAACGTCACACTCACTTAACCACACGCCTGGGTCTGTTTTTTCTTTATTTGTCAACTGTTTGTTCTTAAAAATGAACAGCTCAAACTCTGATGCAAAAGCTCTTACCAGCTTTCTGAGGGCTGGTACATATGCATGCTGGTCTCTTCAAGAAACCACCCTTGATATGCAGTTTTCCATAAGTGAGGTAGCTTATGCCTCTCAGCATCATTTAATGGGGACTCTGCAAGGAATCACACTGATCCTTTCTCCCACTCCACCCCACTCAGAAACACAATGTGGAAAAAAAAAAACAACACAAAAAACACCTCCAGGACAGAACCCCTCTGAACACTTAAAACCCTCTTTTAGTTCTTACCTGATTCCACATATGATAAGGTCAGTGGTGGTGCCAGCACAGTGTAGATACTTCCTCTTTCTTCAGCTGAGCCAGGTAAATTACTAAATTGAGTTCACACATTTTTCTCCAAGACTATAAAGAAATTTCCTTCATGCTATTTCTCTGGATCTTCCAGCTAATGTGCTTCAGATTTTGGTTCAAGTTATTCAGAAGAATTCTTTAGCCTATATTTTATTTCCTGGGTTCCTTTGAATAATTTAGGGTCAGACTACTGGCTGTAGTCTTGTACAGAGAACTCTGAGCTGCAAGCCCAAATACCAGAGCCAAGATGCTCCGAATTCTGACCTTGCAGAGAAATTCTGCCTCTGCACAAAATAACACTCTCTTGCTGTGAGATCATCTAAGGCTTCTTGTTCATTCTCTAGATTTTATGGTAGGATCTTTCGTGATGAGTTGCAGCTCTGCCCTCCCTTCTTTCATGTTTTGAAGCACTTTTGCTGTAATCACTTCTCTGAAGCACCAATCTTTCCATTGAGAATTTGGGTTAAAGTGACTGAAGGGAGTGACAACAAAGGAGTGATTGTCATCAGGTCCCAAGGATTTGATATGCTGTTGGTTATACAATGCATTTGGACAGCCCAAGTTGTGTGCCAGATTAATATTTGATGTCATTGGACTTGACTGGCTGTAAAGAAAGAAGCTGGAGACAGTGTTGGGAAAATGGCCATCTCCCTTTCACCGAGGAGCTGGTGCTCATGGAAGTTGACAGCCTGACAGCCCAATCTCCCATCCACCCATACACTCTAGCTGGTGCAAGCCGTGAGCTGTGGCAATGCAAGTTTTCCCATATTTAATCACTGGTAGGTGAAATTATCCTTGTCACCCCTATGTATCATGTTTACTTTATATTACCAGAAACAGCTTTGCTTAGTGTGTATTTTATCATTATTTCCTAAGTCATTAAATTACACTTATAGTACTGATGTTTAATCTGTCCTTACTGCATATATGTGGGACTCCTCTGTGTAGTCCATGAAGGTATGTGGTCACTTGGTATGCTCAGAAATTGTACATTCACTCACATATGTCTTAAACAAGTAGAAGTAAATTTTGGGCTGTATCATTAGAGATGTCGTAAATGGTCAGGTTTTGTTTGTCTTCTGATCCTTTATCTTAACTTATCCAAAATACTGCTAGGCTAATGAGGCCCACGTGCCAGTGGTACTTCATTTAAAAAGGGGGAAAAAAAAAGTTAGTCTTGTGGCACACGGATATTAAAAAAATAAATCAAATAAAACTTGGCGTTGTAAATGGAAATCAATGGACTGCAAAATTGTATTTGTTCTAGCTGGATAGAGTACTTGCCGAGTTCCAAGCTGTCTGTCCCCTGCTGAGGAGAGGCAGGGTCTGCACTATGCGTAGCGCAATTGCAAAGCTATTGTGTATAAACCTGCACCTCTCCATATTCCATGCAATTTATACCTTAAAAAAATAATAATTAAATTTTACAACATCCCAGGAGATGCATATATTAGTTCTCTTTTACGGACAGCATGAAATGAGACTGGATATTTTGTCCAAAGCAAGTCCCTGTAAGGGTTGAAATTTTTGGCTCCTGGTCTTATTCTCAGGAAATTTGACTATGCCTGTCCTAAAATTCTTTCACTATCTATGAACTGCAGACAGCATAATATCTGAATAATAATACTAGGTATAGTGTTGCTCTGTAATTCCACGTGACTTCTGGCTCACGCTGACTTCTAGCTCATGTGGACATGTCACCAAGGACAGTGTTGCTTCTCAGCAGTGCTACACTCAACTTGGCTGCTTTTCTACAAGTCTGGTTCTTGATCTTTTGATAAATCCTAAGAAAACCATATGACATGGAACTCTGCTAAACTGAAATAATGGAATATCACCATGTAGAATAAATAAAGATATTTCTATTATAAGCAGCTGATTACCACTATGTCTAAAATATTTGGGTTTTGTCTTCTTCCCTATTCCGTAATTTTAATAATGATGACTATTCGTATTAGGCCTATAAACAGCTAGTGTTTCTTGTATGTCCTCATTGACTTATGATGCATGTATTTACCGTACAACAGGTAACTTCTTCAAAGAATTGTTATTACATGAAACGGCATTGGTCCAAAACCCTCCAATACTCTTTTCCCAGGATTTCTATGTGTACAGTCTTGAGAACCCAAGTATTTCATTCTGCAAAGCCTGGGTTTTGAAGTTTACCATCCTGAGGAAGGAAAGCCAACCAAACATACTTTGAGAGTCTAAAGAAGACTTTTTCAGGATGGAGGATGTACAACTGGACAGGAAGACTGGCAACCAGGATAACACCTGCCAGCTCTGGCAACAGGCTGAAAGCTAAAATAGAAGAGAGAGGTAAAATTAGCACATCTCATTCTTTGAAGTTTCATCAGGTGATACTTGACATTAGAATAATGCAGTAAAGAATTATTAGAGGAAAATGCTGTGCTGTCAAAGAACCTGGATGTTACCAGGACTGTCCTACCAAGGAGTCCTGCCCTCTAAAACCGTTCTTTGAAAATGTTAACCATATGGAGTATGCTATGCAAAGCAGTTATCAAAAAATAGATACCAGCTCTGTCCTTGATATTAAATAGGATCATTTGGATTACTGCAATCAAATATGAAAAAATAGCATTCATTATGAATGTGAATTTACATCCCTTCAACTGTAGAAATTATCAGGAGAATATCTCATTTAAAATTAGCACTATTTAAGTAAGGCTTAAAAATTAAATTGATTGGAGAATAACAGCCTATCCAGACCTTTGGTGCCTTGAACTCCTGCGTGCATTTACTGCCAAAGTCTATAGTAAGAACTTTTTTCCTCAAAAGTATACAGAACATTATTCTTTTTAGCCCAGATCAGTTACACAGCCCAGATCTTGGGGCAGGAGTTACTTTTGGGGTGGTCCCTTTTGGGTGAGAAGGCTGATGGAGTCAGGTAGTTCTTTAAATGAACACCTTTGATTAAAAAAAATGCACAAAGCCTTTTTTCCTTGAACATTTAAAACAAAGGTCAAAGAAAAAGTGGGAGTTTCATTTGCAATTACAATTGTCTTTAGCTTGGAAAGAACTCTGCCCAAAATCCCATTCTTAGCCTTAGAGGTCACACTCCTGCGGGTTCCCCTAGCTAGGTCTCAGCCTTCCTGGCTCTCTGTCTTGTTTCTGTCCCTCTTCTATCCCACAAGGAATTGCTGTATTCAGGTTGATCTCTGCCTTAATGGGAATGCTAGCCCCTAGCCAAACCACCCTGCTGCTGGGTTCAGATTCCTGAAAAGCCTTGGGGAGCACCAAATATTTCTGTTATACGTCAACAAAAGAATGCTTAATTATTCTGTTCTCATCCAGACCCAGCCCACTGGATATGATGCTGAGTACTTTCTGAAAACCCCTGAACTCAATCATCATCATTTCAAAGGCTGCCCCACCACTACTGTTTCCTTAAAGCTGGGGCCCAGGAATACGTCAGCCCAGCATCAGGTGCTCCCCATCACTTTGTACAACCTGCTGGTGTGTCCAGATGCTGGATGTTTTTCGGAGTGAACGGTACTAGGCCATGGGCAGCAGTTTGGGACTTGACTTTGCTGCTCATGCTCGTATCCTGGCTATAAGCTAGCATCATCTGTGATGGCTTTTCCTGTGTGGATTTCCTGACATGCTTAATGAGACATTACAGTGGAAACGGTGTTAAATGGGAACCTACTTTATGGCTCCTTAAACCTGGGCTCCTTCCTTCCCAGACACCATCTGCCATGAACTTGTCCACTGAAAACTGTCATTCCTATGTCATACTGCCCAGGCTGGGGTGCACAAAGCTCTTCATTGGTCCATGGTCTACAGTATAATTTATTATATTTTCAGAGGTTTTCAAGAGGGAAATATGCACTTTCGTGCTTAAAAAAAGGACAAGTTATCTGCAAAGTATGGACAAGTTCTGGCAGTCAGCATGACATGTTCATAGATTATGTGCTGAAGGAAAGGCAGATAATTTCTTAGGGATCATAATCCTTATAGTCCTTTTTGGTTCTGTGTTTTCTAGTCCGTGTTTCTTGTCAGTTGGCCAACTAATTTTCCTTCTGTTTCAGAGGAAATGTGCTGAATGGCAGATCCCAGGCTGGTCACTCGACTGACATTTTATGTTAGGCTAAAACATGTGATCTTTGACCCTGACAAAAGCAAAAGTCAGCCACACGTACACAATATGTATATATACACAGAGTGCGGAAAAAGAAAAGGTAAGAGATTAAGCCACACCACCACAAAAGTTATAAGTAACCAAGCAGAACAAAGGTCTGCCCTTAAATGCTAAAGATCAGTGTAACACTTTTTATGGCTGATAACATGCCATGCCCCATTGTTAGGCTGAGAACTTTTTACAGCTGAGCAAAAGATAACAACCAGCTTTTATGTGGCATGCCTTGTAAAATAATAACTAACAAGAAAGTGCTCTGCAAAGAAGGCCTGTATTGTTATCTCCATGTCTCAGAAAGGAAACCTGAGCAGCAGAGGGAACTTGCTTAAGGTGCCTTACAGGTGCAGGTGACTTTCCGTGTTCCAGCACAGAAACAAGGATGGAGAAGCCAGCCTTGCTTTGTTGGGCAGCTGAATGCACTGCCCTGCTTACAGCAAGTATCTCTGGAATGCTACAGGCATTGGCTCCACTCCGCAGGCTGCACTGCGGGCACTGTAGCAGCCAGTCTGGGGCTGTGCTGGAGGCAGAACTGGTGGAGCAGCCCTGCACCATCAGCTGGGTGGGAAACTGCAGCGCTTTGTCTGCTTCTGAAAGTGGGACACCAGCCATGCTGGGAGGGCAGGAGGCTAAGGAAGGGCAGGGTAGAAAGGCAGCCAGGAGAGAGGATTTACTGAGGCTGTCACTGCTCGGGGATGCTGGCTGGTCTGGTGTCCCGCATGCCCCTGAGAAGCAGTGATGGCATCCACTGCCTCCACAGGATTGCTTGCCCTCCATCCTGCATGTGCAGGGAAGGAACAACCTGTATAATAACTCATTAACCCAAATTGCCTCCTGTTCTTATCTAGCTCTGCCACTGAAGCGTAGCAACAGCTCTCCAGGAAGCCTTGGAGTGCCCAGTGAAGGGCCTTCATGTGACTCCCTGGGCCCACCAGACACCCTCCAGCAACATGCTGCCGTGGGGCTGAGCAGCTCAGCAACCAGAGCTCGAGTATACAGCTCACCCTCTGAGAAGGTTCTTTCATTTGACACCGGCTTATCCTGCTTGAATGATGAGCTGCAGTTTCCACATTAAATCCCAGCACCTTTCACTGCAGCAGCCCTTGGCCTGCCTTCAGCTCTGTAGTGGGTGAGCTAAGAGCAAGCCGTCTGCCCGTGTGGATGTATGGAGCAGAATGTGCATCTATACGTTGTCATGGAGATGCCATGGGATACATCCTCGGGTTTTGCTGGTTGGGCTTCTTCTGTATCACGCGTTTGTGCAGAAATGAGGCTTTTACTAAAATACAGTATCCAAGATTTTCTGGAGCATAAGTGGAATGTAGATCTGTGTCAGATCAGATGAGGTCACTTCATTTGTGATCACTTGCATGGGTCTTACTTTTTGTTTTCCACTTACACTGCTCCTGATCACATATGCACATAGCATCAGCAGTTTAGAGAATTAAACAAGTCCGAAATCATGGAGGGGGGAGAGAAGCAGGCCATATGCTTCAATAGTAACAATTCAAAGATGCAAGATGAGGTGGCAGGATACAGTGGATTTTGCAAATACAGTGGACTTGAAATAATCAATGGGAAATTGCCCTTAGGAGCTAACTTGAGATATGTGAAATCTCTGTAATTTTCCTATATTACCTCATGTGTTAAGGTAAGCAGTGTTATTGTTTGTGTCCATCTGATCTTCTGTTTTTTCTTAGTAATAGTCTCACAAATATAGTAACAGATATTTTCAGTGAAACAGGGCCTTCAGAAAGAGAGTCATTAAAAAGGAGAAAGAATTATCGATTTTTAAATTATACCTTGTCCATAAAAGACAAATCACTTGGCCAGTGAAGATCACATTCCCAATATGTGTAAGCAGTCAAGGACTGCAATCAGAGGGCCCGAGGCCCTGTCTACCTGATAGTTACATAACCAGAAGCTAACTCCAGAAGACAGCACCATCTCACAGCCTGCAGACCATCTTCAATCTAAGCACTGTTATAAAAATATCACCTTAGTCTTTCTACATAATGTGCTTCTGATACAAGCTTTCCTGTGTACCCACAGCTAAACCTCTACCCAAGCTCTCATCTAAGTGTGCTAGATTTTTTTTCTAATTGTGCTTGGAAATGATCATCAGTTGTTGGCCTCTTTCTGAAGTTATTCAGATCTGAGATTACTCTGGAGAACCTGCTGCATTTTCATAGCACTGCTGCTGCAGGTCCGCCAACCAAGAAAAGCTCCCTTGTGCCTGTTGACATGAATAATCCCCAGCATTTTTAATACAGGCTGTCTTCGCCAGTTGGCTGACACTTGTGCTATGCCATGAATAAAAGCTATTTGATGACAGATGAAAAATGGATGTGAAACACTTGCTGCTATATTTCCTGTGCTGTATGGGAGCTGCTCCCTATTGTTTGTCATGTGCAGGAATGTTAAGATGCTAAAAGCAACTTGAGTGCAGACAGTGATGACATGACAGTGCAAGGCAGTAGAGAAAACAAGACCCCATACCTATTCTAATAGCCTGCATCTTGCATATATTCCTCGAACAGCTTTAAGTATAAGTTCAAAAATGTGTGTTTTAATGTCTTTACCTAGCCAAAGTGTGCCCTCAAATCAGCACAGAAAAGATTCCCCTTGTTACCTGGCTGGAGACAGTTTAATTTCACCAGGGAAGAAGATGGGGATTCAGGGTAGATTGGACAGAATGAGAGAGGGAATGTTTGGCTAATGGAAGATAGGAGATGGACCCAGCTGCCAGATGAGCACGAAGAAGAAAGGGGCGTTGAACCATCCAAGAACAAGATAAAATGAGCAGGAAAGAGGAAGGACTGAGAAACAGAGGCAGGAGAAGAAGGGGGAGGAGCAAATTCAGAGATTAAATTATGGGGGGCCTCAGAGGGGAGATTTGGAGGTTTCACTGGAGATGAGATGCTGGTGGGCCAATGTGTCACGGCTGTGGAATACTTAGCAGGAGCTTCCAAGCAAAGTGACGGAAGAAAGTGTAAGGAGAGGAGGGAGGACGAGCTACTGCAGCACAAACTGCTGTGACACGGGCAGGAGTGTTCTGAAGATGGGCAGCAAAGGAAAGGCAGGCTATAATGAAGGTTTAAGACATCCTAACACCTTTGGAAACAAAGCTTACAGATGACCCCCTGAAGCCTTTTCATATGAAGAAAGCAAAATATGCCCAAGTTTTAAAGGACTATCAGGAAGAGAGCGCGCATCATGTACTAAGCAGACAACATTCCTTAGAAAACATATCCAGTGGAACGCAAAAGACATCAACAAGAAAATGATCATTCTCTACCATTCACTTGATTGCAGACCACGTTGATCCTTGCTCTGGGTTTTGCATTCATTGAGAAGGATCAATAAGCAGACTTATAATCAACTCTGAGCTTTCTCTCCCACTTCAGCCTCCGCCAGGGCTCTCTGGAGAGCCTCCCTCCTCTCCCTTATCGTCAGCTCAGAGCTGGAGCTGGCAAAGCACACCTGCCGCAATGACTCGCTGCTCACAGCCCTGTGCCTCCAATATAAAGTTTCAAGCACCTGATATTAGTATGACGCAGGTGAGCTCTGCAGCATCTGTACACAGACCTGGGTTTTGCAGAGCCTTTAGCTGCTGCAGGGCACCTCAGGGCCAAGCAGTGCTGATATAGTTGAGGGCTCAAACGAGGGGAGGTGGGATCGTGGCACTTCATAGCCAGCTCTGCAGCAGTAAGGTCTCTTTTCTCTGGCAAATGGCTGAGCCAAGAAGCAGTATGACCACAGCAGCATGAGAAACAGAGAAAGAAAAAAAGAATTTCTTTTCCTCTAACAGAGCAAAAAAATTGTGTGTGTGAGCACATATAGTGTCCGGGTGATTGCAAGGCAAGACACGGTGACAGCATGATGGCATAATTTCCAGATGACATATCAAGCAAAAATGCTTTGGAAAGCTCTGCTAGCCAGATCAGCTTTGGAGATGTGTGACTAACAGCAATAGGCCATAATAATTATTTTTTAAATGTCACTTTAAGCACAGTTTTCTCCTGATTATCACTAGAGCACATTTCTGGCACAAAGTGCCTTTGTACAGTATATCTTTATAGTATGTGAAGCTAGCACTCAGCTCTAGGCAAGGATGGTAAAAAACAGTATATCATTTTGCTCTTGCAAGGGAGAATCTAACAATTTGGCCATCTGCTGCATTCCACAGCAGTGACAGCTCATGCTTGTGTTTGGTGCTAGAGCTGGGGCTGGCGATGCAAGAGCAGCCCTTCCTCCCCACCCTCCTCCAGACTTAGCAGCTATACCCATCCCCATTGTGCCATTGCTCCTCTTGTGCCCTTCCCACTACCAATTTCCCTTCTCACCTGAAGGTGGGTGAACTGTCGTGCTGCCTTGCTGCATCTCCCTGCAGCTGGTCTCTGCTCCTCTTGGTTTGCCCAGCCTTGCTCTGCCATTGCCACTGCTCAAGGTGGGGATGCTGTAGCTCTAGGTCACTGGTTGCACAATGTTCATTCCCATGTCATGGCAAATGGCCAGTGAGAAGAGAGCTGCTCCTGCCTGTCCTCATGCAGCTTGAGTCTTCAAGCCTATTTCAAAGAAGAATGAGAAAGCAATTATTTGGCTGCACTCATTTCAGCCTCCCTGCATTCATTATGAGGGGACCTGATAAAACGACATCTCTGCAAGTAACTGCACCCAGGCTCAGAGATATCCACTCTACTTTGAAATGCAGTGGTCAGCTATGATGGCAAGGAGCTTGCCACAGCTGGGCTGAACCTTTAATGTCCCTGCTTGATCAGCAGTTGGACCAGATTGACCCAGAGTTCCCTGCTGCCATCAGCTGCAGCCCAGCTTTTCTCAGAGCCACAGCAGAGTAAATCCACTGCGGTGCTCCTCAGCCCTGGGCACATCCAGCTCCTGCTGCAAGCTCCTTGTACAGCACAAGTAGATAGCATGCCCACCAGGCTGCCACGGTGCTACAGGCCCTCCCTTGCCTTTCCCACCCTGCATCTAAGCACACTGATGTGCATCAGGCACTCTCCTGTTCCTCTTGTCTCCATGAGCCCTCCATGTCTCCCCAAAAGACAGCTCCTACCTGCTGCTGGGAGCAGTGTGCCTGACTCACAAGGACTTGCTTTCTTTTAAAAAAGATGGATGTTTCTGAAGGTCACCATTTTTACAGCTTTAACATTCATAATCCTGTGATCCTGCAATAGTTACGTTCAGCATCTGAGTTACTACAGTGCACAAATTGTATTTGTGGTATCCTCAGAGGCCGAGTGCCAAGCTGGGAGCAGATAAACACATTGCACACGGCTTACGAGGCACAGAGGCGCAGAGCAGCCCCGTGCTCTCCGACACAGCAATTTGCCTTCTTGTGGCACATGAAACATATCAGCATGTGCTCATCGGGAACCAAAGACCCAAGCACAGGAAGGCAGACTTGGGGCTTAGCTTCACAACCAATTTTCCTCTGGTAGCTCTGTAGAAAGCTAAATATTCACGCACACTAAATAACACTCGTTTCTTTAAGAGGGTTTGCTCTCCTAGCGCTAATCTCTGCTGAATTGCTGAGTTCAGTGGGATGCATTCACTTGTGGGGTTTAGCGCAAGGGTCTCAGCATCCTGCATGCAGGCTGCTTTTGGCTTTCTATTCTGAGCAGGGATCTGGAGCCTGGGAGATGGTCGGGTCGATGGAGACGATGCTCAGTGCTCGTCATGGGGAAGAGGACGCGCGTGCTGCCAGGCAACGGCTCTGCAGCGCCCGTGCCAATGGCTGCAAACACCTCTGCAGAGGCAGGTCTGCAGCATGAGCATCCAGCCCCGTCTGCTCACTGCCTGGGGGCCTGTGGGCACATGCCTGCCAGGCAGGGAGATTGAACTGTGCCCCTCATGCCTGCAGGGAGCAGGGCAGAGAGGACAAGCCCCTTTTGGAGTCTGGGCAGGGCTCTGGGGGTCTCAGTGCTAGCATCAGCCAATGCTGCTCAGTGGCAGCTGAGAAATAAAGCCCTTGCCCCACTGTTTATATTAGGGTGGGGAGGAACGGCAATTCAGGCACATGGGCTCCAGTGGAATGTCTGATGTTCTGGTCTTCATCTGGGTCTTTAATTGCCATCCCCAGGCTCTGCTGCAATCTGCCATACACAGCTTGGTAAAGGAGGATAGAACAGATTTTAATCGCAACAGATATGCATTATGTACATGCATTCACATATACCTATGCATGAAAAATTCATTCAATGGGATTAGGTACAATTACCTTAGGGTGTGCAAAGCAGCAGTGCCATCCACAGCAAGTGTTCCCTTTGCTTACTCTTTTCAATGAACTACTTTGATTTCTCCAGTCCTTCACTCCATGAATATTCTTCCAAAAGCAGTGCAGTTGTCTTCCTACTCAGTTTCCATAAGTTTGCCTGCAGTGGTAGTTAGGTCTTTATTACTTGATATTGCCCGAGGAAATGTTTGTAAAGATTCTTATTCAGCTTTTATTTTACAGCTTAGGGGCAGATACCTACAATGCTACGGAATAAATCTCTTTCTGTCCTGCTTTGTCCTTCCTGGGCAGGATTTGGCCACAAGTACAGAAGAGAGACATAACTTATTCTGAGACATGCAGATGACATGCACTCTCGACACTCAGCACAGCTCAGACCCTAGAAATACCAATGTGAGGTGAGAGCAGGTGAAGAGAAGGGCGAGGCCAGATAATTTATTGCAGCTCCCCCTGCGGGAGTTACAGATAAATCTCAAGGGATAAAACAATGTTTGCGGAAGAAGTTTGCAGCTGGGGGATAAGAACTGCGTCTCCTCCTGGTCCCAGGAGCAATTCCACTGTGGGGACAGAGGCTCTGCAGCAGTAGCACAGCACCATTCTGAAGCAGTGTTTGTCCCCGAAGCCCCCTCCCTTTCCCACTGAATTCCATCACTTGGGCTGTGGCAGGCGGGCAGCAGGGCTGCAGGCAAGCACCCCACCCATCAGCTGGCTTTTTGGAGTGCTGATGCCCCTATTTAAGGGGAACACCAGAAAGGACTACTGCTAGGAGGTTTGGAGCAAGGGCTTAGACACCTGCCTCAGTGTCCCATCGGTCCAGATGAAAGCCAGGGCTGAGTCCCAGGGCTCTGAGTCAGCTGGGTCCCGCTGTGGCGACAGGGAGGGCTGCCAGCTGCCGGCCAGCCTGGGCACCGCTGTCCCAGCACAGTGAGAGCACCTGAGTGTGACAGCCAGCACGCTGCTCTCCTATGCGTAATTTGCTGCGATCATGTTATAAATCAAGATGAGACTGCTAAAATTACATATGACCTCATTTGATAGATTATCTAATAAGGAATTTGCTAATGCAGTTTATCACTTAAAAAGCCATATGACTGTTAAGGATGAGTACTTTGCTGCAGCACATTTAAACCTAATTGTCAGAGGAGAAAAGCAAGCAGATTTCAGAGGTGAGTTAGAAGAGCATCCTTATGAGGATGATGTCTTCACTAAATCAGTGGTGCAATGCAGCAAGCAGGGTGGAAAGGAGTCTCCTCTGGATAAAGGTACAGAAAGCTGCTAGATGAGACCGGCTGTGGGAGCATTCTGCATGCAGCACTGATCGGGAGAGCCTTCCTGCCTGTAAATATCTGTACCCCAACGGCATGCTTGATTTTATTGTTTGACCTAATGCTATCTTTTGTCATTATAACATTTCAGTTCTGCTTCCCTGTCTTGCAAGTAGATCGAAAATCTCTGGTAGATTGAAAGGAGTTCTGTGCCCAGACCTCCAGCTCTAACTAGCTATTCTGGTTATTGTGCTTGTCAGAATGAAAAGAGTAATTGTTTTGCTGCTATATGTTACCATCCAATATTTTTGTTCTTCCAGTCCTGTGACTCATTTAAAAATACTGAACATCGCTTCCACATACACAAACAGAACTATAAAGCAGCTCAAGCCAATGAAACAAAGCTCGTTTCGCAGGTTTGTTAACCAAGTGTTCTGTTCCAATCCTTGATTTATGATTAATATAGATGCCTTTTTATTTCTTGACGATTTTATAAAGCTCATTGTGGGGTCTGAATGCCTGCATACATTCCCTGGATGGATGACACCGTTCAAAGCCTCTGAGAAAAACATTAAACCTGCTCACAACTCCCTCCGTGTGTGGGGAGGGGGAGGTGTTAGAAAAGTGACGATTTTGAGCTCCATTTTAGGCTTGGGCAGAATGAGGTGGAGACGTGAAAGAGCTCACAAAAGGCCACACAGAAAATCGATAGCAGAGCCAGGGCTAAAGCTCTTGACTTCCCTGATCCCCACTTCGTCTCCTGGCTCCCAAGAGCAAAACCAGCAAATGTCCCCTTCCTATCCCCTGAGCACACCCTGTTTCATTTGCAACCCTCTGAAGGTGGAGCTTGTTCTTTCTCAGAGGAAATCATGTTTTATGGCAGGAATGGGGAAGGTGGACATTGCTTTACAGGTAATAGGATGTGATCGTTGGCAGAATAAGGGAGAAGGTAAATTTTGCAGTGTGCTACTGAGTCAAAATGGTAGGTGAACCCTGTGTTGACTTAAGTGAATAACTGCTGATTTGGGATTGTACAAGAGCTGCCGGTGTCACAAGAACAGCAAAACTACCCACAAAACATTGCAAATGCCAGGGACAGTGACCAAGCGAGCTGAAGGAGGATATTTCAGTAGAGTCATACACTGGAAACATGCAAGGAAACCCCCTGTGACATTTGCATCGAGGCCCACCTGACCACTGTTATGCCTCAATTAGTAATGCAGTCCCAAGAGAGTAGTTGGGCCTGCTTCTGGGAGAACTGGAGTCTGTGTTTCTGCATGAACATGCCAATGTGTGCATGCATCTGGCTGGAATCATTTGCCTGCAGAAGAGGAGAACAGAAAGTAAAGGAAACATCACTGGCCTCACAGAATAGCCCTGTTCTAATCCAGAGAGGCCATGTGAGGGCTGAGCACAGTTCATCACTGTGCCACATCAGTGCTTGGGGTTTCCCCCCAACACTAGCTGATACAAACTGAGTCAGTGGATTTTACATTGAAAGCACATCTCTACAGTAAGCTGGGCTCACTTACCCTGCACTGTCAAATAATGCCAGTGATAATCCTCAGTCACAGTTGACATAGACAAAAATTTCACCATAAAGCCCTCACTAGTCATTCCATGAGCCATCCAGCCTCATGAGCTCTTACCACCACCAAGATAAGATCTAGATAAGATATGATGATAAGCCTCATTCAAGACCAAGGGAAAACCGAGAAAACCAGGAAAGGTCACAAGGTTGTGGCTTTTAAGTATAATCATGGAATCACAGAATCATTAGAGTTGGAAAAGACCTCTAAGATCACCAACCGTTCTCCTTCCGCCAATATTGCCCACTGTACTATGTCCCTTAGTACAACATCTTCCTCTTAAAACACCTCCAGGGCCACTGACATAAAATCTCCCCTGAGCCTCCTCTACCCCAAACTGAACAATCCCAGTTCCTTCAGCTGCTTCCCGTAAGACTCACATTTTTCCCCCCAACACACAGCCATTCAAAATAGACGTTTTTCATTCCTTCCAGGCAGTAAGCCTCACCATGTAACTGCAGGCACTGTGTTTGGCCATATGGTTAGTAATGCACTATGAAGCTATACATGTCATAAAAATAGTACTTAGTCAAATTATTCTTAAAACGTCACTTATAGGGCAAAAAATATCCTCTAGAAACAGACTGTAAAATTACACTTTGAGGTTGCTATCTGGCACAACAGTTAAATTCTCCTGCTGTGCAAATCAGGAGGTGGACTGCTTTGAAAACACGAGGTAAACATTCCTAGAAGGACAGAACCAGAAGATGTGGCAGTGAGTTTCTGCTGATCAGCAGCTCAAGACCTCTCAGAACAGCTGAGGGTGCACAGGAGAGCAAGGCCCCAGCCATGGCCGTACTTGAGGGCCACATTCTGCTCTCCTAAAGGACAGAAATCCCACCCCATCATACGTCCTCTGAGATCATCTGGGAGATCTGCAGCTGAGTCACCATTAAATAGCAATGCAGAAATTTCCAAGACTGTGAGCAGCAAAGTTTTACAGACATCCTATTATGTTCAGCTTACGTAATGTGAGTGCTTAGCTGCTCAGATAATACAGTTATAGAGCTTTGTGGAATTAAAAAAAGGAAACACTTCCTTCAGTTACTAGTATGGCAGGAATGGAATTGCAGTGCTCCAGAAATAAAGTCAGTGCCACTTTTTTCCAGGCTTTATCAGATATTTCCAAGAGGGACTTGCTGCAGCAAAGATGACTCCTCAGCTCCTATAGTCGTGACATAATTTACACTGAACTTTGGCTTTTCAAAGCATTATCTTGCTTTTGGAAACAGAAGCCTCTGGTGACTCAGAGGTACAAAAGAGCAATGGTCAAGGTTCAAGCAGCAGTCTAAAGACATGTGTTTTCTTCCTGCTGAACTGCAAGACTTGGTTTAACTTCTGCTTAAATTCTTACTTCTGTTTGTACACAGCACCAGCATTTTGCAAAAGACAGGCAACTCCTATCTCGATCTTCCCTAAAGATAAACATGAGCCTTGCACAAGCTTCTGCAGCAAGAAACTGCAGCTAATGTGGTGGAGTAATGGCAGAAACATGTTATACCTAGAAACATTCTTTGCTCACAAATTTATGTTACATAAAATACCAAGGAGTTCAATCTTCCACTGGCTTAAGTCACAGCTTTATCAAAGCAAGTGGAATTATGCTGATTTGTATTAGATGACCACGTATTTGAAAAACATCTTTTGATCACCATCGGCCTACGTGGCTGATGGACTCCAGTGGGGCTCTCTAGGGGAAGATAAAGGCAGCAGTAGGAAATGAGCCCTATAGAAAGTAATACGCTGTGCTTTAGTGAGAAGCATGCAGGGTGAAAAATGCACCCTGTATATGTACAAGACACACCGTATCCCCAATAAAATAACAACAGTTCATGATCCAGATGCAGCATATGCACACACATAGACAACACAAATTAGTGCTTACTCCAGATGTGTTTCTTCTGCGTGGCTTCTGGTGACTTCCTCTGCTTTCTTTTCTGAAGTAGCATCTTTGGTGTCTCAGACTCCAAGTGGGTCATCTAAGGGCTCTTTTTCCAGCACTGCTGTAGTTGGAGAGATGTGATTTATCTGAAAGGCAGGCTATGCAAACAAACATACAATAAACTTATGCAGTTTCACATTTTTTCCACTCCGGAGATTCTTCCACCATCGCCTGACCCTTTGGTGCAAAACGCACCAGCAGCCTCAAAGCTGGTATGTAAACTTAACATGCCAGACAGGGGGAATGCTAAGGGCATCCATAGTCACACAGTTTCCATGATGGGAAGTGACTGTATTCATGCGAGAGTGGAAAACTTGGTGTACAAGCAGCCAGATCATTTGCTGTGGAATAACTCATTCAGTATTGAGCAATGACTACATGGTGCAACTTCCCCTGGGCTCACAGCTGCCATGATCAAAAGCAGGGCTGAAAAGAGCAAGGAATGGTAACAGAAGGACTCACACTCCCTGCTGCCACAAAGCAGGCCTGAGTTCCAACCAAACACTAGCTATTAAAACTTGGCTCACGACAACATCAGCATTTCCTCTGTGGAGTCTCATGCCCAAGGGATGAGAGATATGGTGCCAAGCCATCTTGCTTATTGACAAGAAAAGTCCGCCAGTTCTCTGCAGTAATAGTAATAAAAAGGTCACTACCAGCAATGCTGCTATCCCATTACTTTGAAACCGATGCTCAGGACTATTACTTTTTGTCTTTATTTATTACCAAGCATTATTGCTTGGCAGGCAAAACTCTTGGACTGTGATGTGTACCGATCCTTCCAGCATCTAGGTTTTCACAGTGATATTAATACTGAAGAGTACTGGAACAGATCTAAGATAAATATCCCAGTGTCCTCTCTGCTGAGTCCTACACATCAGCCACTGAGTTCAGATGGAGAAACATTCGGTGTTCCAGAACAGGATGGAGAACAGCCAAGGGAGCTTTCTGTATGCAAACGGAACAGAATACAAACCAAAGCTGCTCTTTGGGCCTGCTACCCTGCAACACACACTGTTTGACTTTACACCCACAGCCCGCAGCCCCTTCTCTCCTACACTTGCACAGATGCAAGGCACCACCTCTTGTCCCAGTGCTGCTAAGTGGCTGGGTTGGGTTGCTGCTGCATTAACAGGGCCAGAATGAAGATAGGCAGGACAAATAGGAGCAGAGCAGGTGCCACATCCCAAGGAACAGTGCAGCAAACCTCCCTGAGAGGAGCAGCAGGCTCTGTTGTTCAGCATGCTTCCAGCTGATCGCCATCCCCCCCTGCTGCTCCCAGAGCGAGGTGTTCCCCAGATGCTATGACTTACCCCTCCCAGGCATCAGGCCTGTGCACCCATGTGAGGACAGCTGGGTGTTTAATGCTGAAACAGCCGAAGAATATATTCAAGAATCTTTGATAAAAGCTACAATTTTATGCACCATAGAGCATCCATCAAGGAAATGCGCGGAGCTAGTGCCACAAAATAATTACATGTGCAGAGTCCATTGTAAACACAGCTTTTGTGTGCATCAGCACAGCTGGGGACAGTGTTTAAAAATATAATTATGTAGTGCATTTTATGTAGTCCGTGAGCCATTCAAGTGATACCATCAGTTCAGCAAAATTACATGCAGCAGTTCTGTGTCTATTGGCCCGAGCAAAGAAACATTTTTCAAGAGCATTATTTTTTTTTTCCTGCTATGAAATAGATTTGTCTCTGATGCTTACGGGGAAGTTGTGTCTCTGTCATTGGCCACTTTCTCTTCTCCTTTCACCAATGAAGGAGAAAGAAATGGGGAGTTATTTTTGGCCCTGCAACAGACTCCAGCGTCTAAATCAGTTAGTCCTGCAACCACTTGGGGTGGTGGTGTTGGTTCTCTTTTAATGGCTTCACAGAGAAGGAATTTGTGATGTTTGACTGCTAGCAAAAGGAAACAAAGCAGCTGTCATTGGATAGAAGGGCAAAACAAGGTTAAGACACTGTGTAATGAAGCAGGGTCTGGCCTTTAACACTGAATCAGTGTGCAGCAAACGATGAGCCGTGGCCAGATCAGCACAGAAGAAGCTATTACTCAGCCATACATATGCTACAGCATAGTGGGTGATCTCCATCATAGCAGCTTTGCAGCTATGCTTATTTCTGACCCTCCCACTGTTTATTTTATCCTTGTAAAGCTTGTATCATATTAGCTGCAGAAAACATACAGGAAGCTTTCTTTTCCTTCTCATGTAACTGCAGCTGCAGCTGAGTTGAGATGATGCAACAGTAAAATTCTGAGACAGTGCTTAACCACTGCTGCTAAATGGCAGTAGCAGCATGCACGCTTACCTGAGACAAAAATAGAGCTTTATAGATATTATCTGAAGGCCATTTTAAGGCCCCAACGCTTTCACTGCTTTGTAGACAGTAGGTTATGTGTGTTGGCCAAATCCCACCTGCAAAAATTACGTTTGACCTACCAAAATCTACACCAAAAAAGCAGATGGCTTTTGCTTTTAAGACCATTAAAAAAATCTGTACCTAGTTTTATAATACGAGATTCACAGGTGGGAGTAGTGAGATAGCTTCTGCTGCTAGTCAGGAGCTGCTTGGCACAGAAATAGGACTTGATGCTAATTTCTAAATATGGGATCTGAAAGCTGCAAAGAGATTTCCTCTTCTCTGTTAGCTGCTGGGCCAGGTGTGGCATACTGGATTGCACAAAAAGGAGAACATGGACAAAATTTCAGGCATCTGTATTCTTGCTCCATGCTCATTCTGCTCCTCCCTAAGAATATTGCGTTTCTTTTTTCTTAGTGGAACAGCGTTGATTGGAAGACAGAAGATACAGCCTGCCGTGGCAGAGCCTACTGAAGTGGGAGCCATGCACTGAGACCTCATTAGGATGATCAGCAGTGTTCAGTAGAACAGCAGAGCAGCCGAAAGTTCAGCACGGACATGTTTCTAAAGGGAAGTAAATACAACAGAGCTGTTTGAAAAATAGCAGAATTGCCATATATTTGTCTCCAGAGCTACTAAATGATTTAGGTCCTTCCTTCCCCACTGACATCTCTGTAAAATACATTTTGAAGATGTAGCTCTTTGTGCTCTCTGGTGGAGTCTGCATGCATTATCTAGATAAAGACTTGCATAGTGCATGCCACCTACAATTCACAAGGGAAGCTGAACAGCCATCATTCCTTTGCCTTCAATGCACAGACTGCTGACAAAGAGGTACGCTGGTGACCATATGTCAGGTCAGCTTACACAAGGAAAATGCGTATATGTATTCAGGCTTACATATATACGTAAGCGTATAAATACGCAGTGTATGGATACTGAGTAGAATTATTATATGGTATTAGGGAAGACTGGCACTGGGGAGATCAAGGTAGATAAATGGCATCTATAATTAAACTTGAGGAGAAGCAAACTTCTGCATTTTTAAAGTTGCACTCAGAAGCAGAATTTTTGGAGAGAAATTTATCAACTGAAAACAATTGCTTCTTTGCAGCACGGAGGTACGTGGTGCAGTCAGTCAAAATGAAACTGTTACTGCTTCCTACCATGTAGACAAATGGAAGGTATAAACAAGCAGCACTTTTAATTCAACTTGCTAAGCAGAACTGGTCAGTAGCCCACTGAGAAATACTACACTGTGTGGTATCAGCATTGAATGTGGGAGTTTTGTGGCGGCTGAGTTGGTTTTCTCCCTCTAAAATGGAACATTTTATATTCTCATGGGAATTTGTGATTGTCAGCTCAAATGTGTTTGTTGCTCTGAAACAGGACGCATTTAACACCGTTCCTGTGTACAGTGAGCTGGATTTTCAAAAGCACATTGTTGAACAAATACTTTGATATGGATATACATCTGCAGTTTGCTTATGCAGAAGGCAGTATCTTTGAAAGTCTGGCTCAAGAAGTATCTCTGTAACAAGTGAAGACCAAATTCTTCTTCATCTATCTTATCCAACCCAAGTGAAATGGTATCTCTAAGATGAGGTGACAGATTTACAGTCTTGGACCCTACAATGCTATACTAATTAACGTGTTTCCTTTGAAACGTAGTAGAGTTCTGTCAGCAGATGTGACATGGGGAGAGGCAGGAACGGACAGGCAATGGAACTTCCTAAGGATCACATAACAGATTGGTAGAGGAATTCACAGCAGAGCTCCTGACTTGTGTGTCACACATTACTAATTGCACCTCAGGTCCAAACTGCTCACGGTATGCCTTTCTGTACAAATATCACAACACTGCTCTAACACAGCAGCATCAAAGAATGTGCTCACTGGACATTTGTTATACAGATATGTTTTAAAGTTCTTAACACAAAATTTACTTGAAGAGATATGATCTGTCCAGGTGCATTCAACACAGACATTTGGATCAAATGCTAACAGAAAAAAATTGATTGAGAAAAACACTTGTCAGTAGAAACTATTTTCGACAACCAGAAGGAATCTTCAAGAAGAAAAATGTAAATAATTCACTGAAGTATTTTCTAGGTGAAGCCTAGCTGTGAATTTTGAGGCAAAAATGTGCAGGCATCATACTGATGTCCTAGAAATAAAGGAACAAAGCCACTTCTACCTTTACCAGCAAAAGGATCCCAGCATTGACATTTAGAGCAAGGAAAATAAAAGTTAAAAACAGAGGGAATCTTTCAGTCTGTGTCTGCAGATACTCCTGAACAGCCACAATGAGGTTAGTGCCAGATATATTCATTAGTTACCAGATTTACCTAGCTGTATCCACAACTCTCATTCCTTGAAACCAATCTATCATTCTTAAAATATGGTACATATGTGAAACTGTTACCTCTTCCAAAACAGACAACTGCCCTGGCACTGCAGAGTAAGTAATACTGCAGGGTAAACAGGGGGTTTTGGTAACATGTTCAAAAGAATATTGTAAGAAGAACCGTCAACTCTACGACCTTAAATTCCTACAATGCTCTTCTTTAATCCCTCTTACTAATGTTATTTATCCAGTGTTAATTAAGGACTCAGTTTAAAAGTGGTTTCTAATTTCAGGTGCCTCACTTAAGTCACCCAACTGTTAGAAATATGGCACACCAAACCCCAGCTGAAATAATGGAAGCAGTGGGCAGTGTGTACATAATCCCATCTCATTCCCTGCATTCACAGTAATAGCATCCCCACTCTTCCAAACACTGCAGCTAAGCCAACATAGCTACTCAAACTGTATTTCCTTTCAAACTGGGAGTTAGGAAAGCATTAGATATTTGGAGAACATGCATCCACAATATAATTTTTTAGGTAAGAAGATATCAACATATAGATTTCTTGAAGAAAAAAATGCTACCCAAAATACCATAGCCACACTGTTAAAGAGAACAGGAAACATGAAACAAACTGAACCTGTAATGATGTCTTGGTGCTGTGCAGTTGCAGATACTAATCATCTTCACAGTTCAGTTTCTCATCTACTTCCGTGCTCGTGAAATGGAAAGTTGAGAACATGGCTAACTTGACTGGCAGATAGAACAGGTGGATGGCAGTTTTGAACTGGGAAACTACAGGAGAGATTCAGCCTTCAGAACAGTAAGAAGGTGCCATGATGATCCTCAAACACCTCTGCTCATCAGGATGGCTCCTGCTACTTGCTATGCATGACAACAAGAGAAGTGGTGCTATGTCCTCTTCTCATCAACAAGGGTAACAACAAAACAAATTATTTAAGGAGTGTGTGATGAGCATCATTACCTAAGAGCACTGAATGTTTTTTTCACCATGGAAATTGTGTAGGTAGATGTGGAAGAAGTTCCATACAAGTGCCTACCTGCTGTAATGTCCCAAGTTTTTATGGCTGTTTGCCAACACCTAGATCCAATTTTGGGTACCCTTTCAAGGATCATGCAGTTGAGAACTTGGTCTGTTATAGATTCACAGAGTTTAAGTCAAGCAAGGACTATTACATCCTAATGCACATATCACTGCTCTTTTAATTTCATTCAGGAACTCTGTATAGAACAAAACAACTATTAAATAAATAGTTGATATAATCTGTCTTTTCAAAAGTTATTCAGTATTACCTTAAGGAAGGGTATATCAAAAGTTACTAGGAAGTTTTTCTTTAGCAACGTGTTACCTCAAACTCTAAGCCAAATTTCTGGTTTGAGTGTGCTTAGCCTCAAGTTCCAGATAGTTGAGCTGCTCTCCACCACTTTGCCACACATTCTTGAGCCATTCAAGATATTTTTTGTGTGTGTGTGTGACAAGTACAGTATTACCATGAAATAACTTTATACTAAGTAAACAACTCTTGTCTTCCTTTTAAAACTAAATAGAGAGATTCCAGGCTACTATAATCTGTTTGTGGCTTTCAGCACAACTGTTAGAAATACCCGGGCAACCAATGTATCAGTCATAAACACTCAATGTTGTTTTGGTGTTCGATTTTTACATGCAAATATAGAAATAGAGAAGGAGGAAAAAGTGTGTGTGCCCTAATCAGCAAGTCAGCAACATCACAAGAGACATCATTCAGGTTTAGACTTCATCTGTCTTAGTTTGTTTACCTAAGTTCAAACTTTACCTTGTAGCACCATAGGAAAAAACCCAAACAAACAAGGGAAAACATTGCATTTCCATATCTGAACAAAGATTTTAGATCCCTTGTGTTGTACATGGGACTGCTTAGCTGCTGCACAGAACAGCATTCAGACAAAGGCTGTGGCTGCAGCAGTGTAAGGAGCACAGCCAGGCCACAGATGCACCCCGCAGGCTGGCTAGAGGGGTGGCTGGGCAGCAGCACGCGTCCCATTGCCAAGAGTGAACTGGGACTGCTTCCATGCAGCCCTTCTGTGGGTCACCTGTTTTGAGCTGGAACAGAGTGCTGATATTTGGGCTTCGGGCTGTGGCTATTCAAGGACTGAGTTCATGTTTGCTAAGCTGTTAATTACTGCGCAGGACTTAGTGTAATACCAATGACACAGCAGGAACTACAAGAAAGTGAAGAAAGTCTTCCCTTTCTCATTCTCCGCCAGTACCAAGGGGACTGTAAACCACTCCTTACTTGACATTATTCTGTCTTGAAAAGAGGTAACCATCCTAGGAATGGCAGATAGTTGAAAGAAAGGCAATTTCCAATTACTACACTGGGTAAAAGCCAGAGATCAGATTCAATTACATTGCACTTTGCAATTTACAATCTGTTGGTGCTCATTCCAGCAGAGGCTTGTTAAATGCTCTCTTACTGGAGACCTTCAAAATATGCTTACCTGCTGAAAAAGAAGAGGTTCTCAGCCCCCATCCTCGCCATAACTTATGCCATCAAAATCCAGGCCAGACCCCAGCCTCCACTTAAGCAAGAGCTGCACATGGCTGAGCTCTCTCTCTCTACAGAAACTTCATGGGTTACAGAGCAATACCGGTGGGAGACCAAATTTGAAATGCAAATTCATCAGAATGCACAATTCTATCATTCAGATTCTGACAAGCACACTGGCCTACTACTTACATGCTTCTAAATCTAATACTTGAATGTCTTCCTTCAGTTTTTCTTTTTTGAGAATCACACTCTTGCAGCTTCACAGTGTAATTGCTATTGCTGCCATACATCAAATCTCCAACTTGCAAAATCCAAAGGACCATAGACGTAGTGAGATATGCAGGAAGGTGTCCATTCAAGCCTCTTCTCATATCTGCAATGCAAATTATCCCTTAGGTTTGCCACTATAAGGAGCAAGCAGCAGTGCTTGCTTTTGGACCTCTGTAGCAAATAGCGTAACTATGATATATGGATTGACTGAAGACACCAACACAAGATTCCAACGATGTGATGGCTCAGGAGAAATGTGAGGTGACCTATGACCTGTCACAACTAAGCCAATTCAGTGTGTACCATCAAGAATGCTAACAAAAATATTTGTGAGAATGGAAAACGATTACATTTTTACACTCATCCCAGAACTGAATTCAACCCATTCACGGATCTACTCCTTTCCCCTTCCTGCACATTTACTTGTGCAGACCTTGTCAAACACCAGAAAACATGTAAGAGAGGAACACCAACAGAAATAGCAGAACACATCTCTTAGAATTTAAAGATGAAACTCATTTCCAACAACAAAATCACCAGAAACAACGAATAGGTCTTCTAACAAGGCAGATCAAAATGATCTAAACATTATGTGGGGGACTAGATATCAAAAAGAGTAATTTCCATCAAATCTTGGCCATTAATAACGGTAGAGTGTGAAATCAGAACACGCATCAATGGGCCACTGACCTTATATTGTGGTTATTTAAACTACTGTGTAATGGAGCAGCATACCATGAAAAAATGCAGTTCAAAGTGGGCAGCTGCCACTGTAGATTTAGATTTCAGCCTCTCATTCATTTTGTGTGTTCAATTCACACCTACTTCTTTCAAAAGTTGTGACTTCTTTGCTCCCCTTTCTGCATTTCATTTTTAATGCTTGCCTTGCTGGGTGCCGGTAAGTTTTCATCTTTGTTTTACTGCGTGGTTTGGTGGAAACTAAAGATACCTATCTGCTATTGTTCCTGCTAATAATGAACTACGTTACTAGTAACACGGGCTAAAGGGTCTTTGTATCATCAGAGCAATTTCAGAGAAAAGCATGGAGTCAAGCTCAGGTTGCATACATTACTCCAAAGTCACAGGAGGAACCAGGTCATGTAGCAGACGGCAATCTAAAACCTAGATTTGAACAGGTGTCAGTTGACCCTCCTGCCATGAAAAATGATCAGACACAGCACCCGAGGAGGATGAGTGGAACGTATCCTGAATGAGCTGTGAGAGCCCCAGTGCGCGCAGATGCTTACCAGCGCTGTGCTCCTCCCTCTGCAGCCGTCGGGAAGCACAGCTGCAGCATGTGGGTTGCGTCCAGTGAGAGGTTCTGCCCCTAAGCAGTGGTGCTGAGGAAGTTCTGAAGAGGAGGAGGAGAAGCTGACTTTGGCAGCCTTGAGGAAAATCCCAAGGCAGTCCCGAGGTTAAACAAGGGGAAATCTGGGAGTCAGGCAGACTTGGAAATGCAGCAGCTGCATTATCTATGAAATGGAAGTCACGTGTTGATTCTGAGCTGCGAGTGTCATAGGGAAAAGGAGCCAAAGGGAGCTTTGGAGCTGCATGTTCTGAGCTAAACAAACTAAATGCTAACAGAAGGCACTGACATGAAATTGGCTTTTACAAGGAAGAACTTTCCCTTCCTCCCCCAGCCAGGCAGCCAGCCAGGCTGAGCACCAATGCCCAAAGGTCAGGCACCACTCCTCAGCCTCATTGGTTACCAGGATCTCCTCTGGAAACAAACGCTTTCACACCACCATTGGGCGTGTTACTAAGGGTTGCTGAGAGCTACGTTTCAATTAATGTGAGGTAATAAACACTGTGGTTCTGGGCAGCATTGGAATGACAGCTATCTCGAGTGGCAGCAGGTCATTACCCCATTCCTAGCAGGCAGGCAGCTACTGCTGGCTTTCCCCACCTGAAAGGGGACCAAGGGGCATGCACACATCACTGTGCCTGCTCTGTATGAGGCCTTTGGGTAAACTGAGTACTGTGGTTCCCATGATTATCAGCTCAGCACCACTACTACAGCCCTATATAAAATGTAATCATAGAATTGTTGGGGTTGGACGGGACTTCTGGAGATTGAGTTCAGACCCTACTAAAACGGTTCTCTACAGCAGGTTGCACAGGTCCAGCATGTTTTGAGGATCTCCAGAGAAGGAGACTCCACAGCTTCTACGGGCAGCCTGTTCCAGTCCTCTGTCACCCTTGCAGTAAAAAGTTTTTCCTCATGTTCAGATAGAGCTTCCCATGTTCCAGTTCGTGCAAAGCACCACTTGTCTTGTTGCTGCACACTGCTGAAAAGAGCCTGGCCTCATCCACTTGACTCTCATCCTTTAGATATTTATAGGCATTGATTAGGCCTCTTCTCACATATTCCTCCAGGCTGAACAGCCCCAGGGCTCTCAGCCTTTCCTCATAAGGGAGATGATTCAGGCCCCTCATCAGCTCAGTGGCTCTCAGCTGGACTTTCTCTGTAAGATCCCTGTCTTTCTTGAACTGGGGAGTCCAGAACTGAGCACAGTACTCCAGCTGTGGCCTCGAAATATGCTTCTGAAAAACCCAAGCTCCTGCAGGTGGAGGGGCTGCTAACACCAATTCTGAAAGCTGGCTTTCATCCACATTACTGCAATGCCCCTCCGGCCAGTGTTGAAGGCCTGCCTACACCCTGAAAGCAAGCATTTACTCACTTCTGCTGAAGTGTCATTTATATTACTCAGAAGACATCATGCATCTGGGGTCACAGAAATAATTACTAATAATTAGGAAACATGCAGCATTTCACATTTCCTGCACAGAAGACCTTTGATTTTTTCTCTACTTGGCTGTACTTGTCTTGGCTACAAACTGCATTCCAATTCTTAATCTTGAGCTGTCAGGAAGTAGCATCTGGGCTAGACAACAAGGAAGAAGCTCAAATCATATTTGAGTCTTTGTGTGTCATGCACATTTGAGAACAAGCTGCTAGGCCCATTGATGGAAGACAGCCCCAGAGCCCATGGGGATTTTCAGCCTCTCTCAAAACCGATCCTTGTACAAACAAGGACTTCCTTTACCACCTAACAAAAGTTCTTAAAGAAAAAAAAAGTGAAAAAATACTTAAAGATCTGTTTAAAAGGCCTCATACTGGTTAAGAGAAAGACAGGGAATTGGGTTGGATTTTTTTTTTGCCACAGTACTGTGCTTGGCAACTCCATTCTGCCCTGTCATATGCACACATCACTGTGCTTGGCAGAAAAACTGCAAGAGCTTAGCAAGGGAAATGGCAAAATCACACATCCAGTACAGGTGGGCTAAAACGAAGCTCAAGGGAAATAAAAGATGATGTATCCATGAACACTGATTAAGTGTTCATGGAAAACAAAACTTATCTTTGTTGAGCTAAATAGTAGTTGAGACTGAACATTACACAAATTCAATAAGCAGAAATGAAATTGTATTTTTTTAATGAATGAAATTAACTTAAGAGAGGGTTGCCACAAAGACTAAGCAGAAATGTCAATTCGCTTCAGACCAAAAATTGAGCCTTAAAAGATAGGCTTGTCTCTTCACCAGTGCTCATTTCATTCTTTGACAGGCAGAGAAAAGAAAGGAAGAAAACAGAGGAAATCAGTGCAACAGCTTTGGAAAAAAAAAAAAAAAAGCATCTAAATTGGAAAACAGCAGCTCAGCATGCTCTGTGGGTTTTCTTCTCCCTTCTAACTTATTGCAGCATTTATTCCTCCACAGTGTATTCAAGTTCCTTGCATGCTCATAGCTTCAGAAAGGAGTCTGAGAGCAGAGTGGGAGTGATAGCTGAGTGTATGATTTGGATTACCTGTGGCTTTCTCCAAAGATGCATATTTGTCTCTAGACTGGCTGATTTTGGAGATGTGCCAGGTAACACATAGAAGTCACCCCATTCTTTTCTTCTTAGCAATTACCTCTTCGCAGTTGGAAACAATTTTTCTTTTTTTCTCAAGGCTTTGTCATATTGCCAAAATATATTTGAATGCAATATCTCTTGTGCAGCCAATAATCCCTACTCCATGCAGTGTCTCGGACCCTGTGATGACAGAAATCTCTGCACAGGGCACTTCCCCACTTGTGCACAGCTTCCTGGCTTCACTGTGGCTCTGGAAAGATGTGGAGCTCACTGCACACAGAGTCCACAACAGCAAAAACCATCAAGAAAGGTTTTCAGGTTGCCAATAAACAACAAGAGATTTCTATGTACCTTCCTTGCCTAAGCAATGCCAGTGTCAAAAAACTGAAACAAAGAGGGCAAAGTTTGCTTTCCTGCTCTGTATCAGGGCAAGGAAAAGCAGACTTATGCTTGCTGCTTTTCCTCTAGGTCTACCTGTTCTCGTTAACCTTGAATGGGGCAGATCATAGTGCAGAAGGCAGTGCTGTACTTCAGCTTTCTTGAATCACCTGGTGAAGTTTAACCTCATTATCAACAGCTCTCACTGTCACACTCAGAAAAGGGCCCTTGAAATCCACAGGCTATAAGTTAATCAGTGCTGCAACTCCCACAGTGTGCTTAGTACTGAAACAAGGATGACTGTGTTTCTTTGGAAGTTTGTCACATTTTATTCTGCAGATTTAAAAATTATGCCATCATGCATACCAAATTCATCTACTTCAGCTATTTTGCATGTAGGTCTTGATTTCACTAGTTGTTCAGTATTCTGCATTCATTTTGTGTTCAAAGACGAAAACTCCAGTCAGAGTCAGGTCCTGCTGAAAGCTCTGACTCACATTCCTTTTTGCTCCAGGGCCTTTCTTCCTAACCTTTCTATTCTCTCTAAGAAAGAAAAAAAAATCTTTTCCCCCCACATTTACCGATGCCAGTGAGAGTAATGGCTTTTGTTCATGGTCTTTATATAGCAACATCTCCATTCTCGTCCAGGTTTTTGAACAAAGAGCATGCTTCATCTCATCACCAGTCACCAAAGTCAGTGGAAATGATTCTGTGGATTCCAATGGGTATTGAAATAAGATCTTAGAAAAACCAACATGTGTAGTTTTACTAAAATCTGTACTTTATATTAGGAGATCTTTTTCAGGAAAGATTTTAATATTCACATTGATTATGTAAGTTACAGAACAAGCCGTAGGCCCACAGCTGCCAAAGTGAAAATAAATGGAAACACTCACTGAAACCTTGGCTGCGTTTCACACAAGACCTGCTTCCCTCAGTCTTCTACAACTAGGATGGGAAAGTGTTTGTCAGGCTCAACGACTTAGTGGCCACCACCCGAAATCTTTAAGCACAATCAGCTCACTGGGTAGCCGCCAGTCGGGAGGCCAACGAGAAGCCAGTCTTACCAGTGAGCTCCAGTCCTTGCTCACCTCTGACACATACCCAAGCCTTCTCCAGGTGACAGCTCACAGCTGTTCTTGTTCACTTGTAAATCCATTCTGAGGACAAGTGCAGCATTTCAGCTACAGTACCAGAAGTACATGGCTCACACGATGAAGTTTTGATCAGACGAAGGCCCCTGGAAAAGGGGAGGAAAAAGAAAAACTCCACTACCTAGTTGCTATTTGCAATACAGAAAATACCTCAGCAGAGGATCAAAATTTCAAGATGGATCACTTTTTGTTTTTTATTTTAAGCAATCTCCTCATCAGATCACAAAAGTTTTTGTTCCCTGTGAGCCTACCACAACTTCAGATGCATTACGTGCTAGGACTGCTCACGTAGCAGTGAGCACTGAGCAAGGTGACTACATGGTGAAGCACAGCTACTACTATACTGAGCAGAGCAGAGCTCTCTCAAGCAGGGGATTATTTGGTCTAGCCTCAGGCTCATTCTTATCACTTGTTTTAATCGTGGGATCATAATTCATCTGAGCTTAACTTAAGTTGCTCCAGTTTCCAGAACCAAAGTCCAAGCAGAAGAAAAAACCTCAATAACCTCATTTTCCTTCCTTCATTCCTTTTCCTCCTTCCTCGCAAGCGAAACACTATCATATTCTCGGGTACAGGATCATGCAACTCCCATTGTTTCTAAAGCAGGAGTCTCACCACTCCCAGTCTCATACTAATCCCAGTGTCTCTTCCTAGACACTATCTGCAAGCTCAACCTAAGGATTTGGGGCATTACAAAATGGCCTTGCTTCATTAACATGAGCACTCACTGTCAGATCTTCAGTGCAGGTGTCCTGTATCTCATAGCAAGCCTGCTTCCCTTCATGTAATGTGAAACTGAGCCCCCTGTTCTCCAGGAGGATCTAGTTCTCCATATGACACAATTCTGAAGGTAGATGCGTGCACAGATTGATTTGGCCCATCAGCATCAAGTCCTCTTTTTACCCGAGCTTCTGGGACACAGGTTGCAGCTCAGCAAAGCAGACAGATGTGTTTAACTTGACACAGGACTGTCCCAAGCAGTTGCACTTGTGACATTGCCTATTCACCAACTTAGATGCTTCGCTGCATCAGTTGGTGTGACCTGGCTTTGGTTCTGGAATTCTCAATTGCTGCTTCAAAGGAACACAACGAGCCTCCTTTTGCAGAGATACTGAACTCCACAGAAGGCTTAGCTAATGTCAGGGGAAATCATGAGTCCTCTGGAAATCTCTGGAAACGTAGGCACATCATGTACAAAGGAAGATTGTACAAACAATGCAGCCAAATAAGTAAATCTTGGCAATAAAACAGTCATTTACTGAGGAAACAGCATACAGAGAGGAAGAATCAACTGGGAAACACTCTTTTGTAAAATTATTTGCCCAATTTCCATGTGAGCTATCAGTGAATCTTGGAAATGACCAGAGGGATTTCCAGTCACTGAAGCACTATTGCCAGCTATTTCCATGCCCACAAAGATGACGGAGACCCACTGAACACCTCTCCCTTCTTCCACGTTGGTTTAAGGCAACTTTTCCACTACTTTCAAAGTGGTGACATTTTCAAATGACAATTCTGTCTGGCGTGGCACTGTCCCTCTCCTCCCCTCCACTTCCAAAGCACTGCAGGACCTGTGATTTGCCACTGCCACATGCACAGTGCTCAAAGGGGATGCAGAGCAGCTTCAGAAATCAAAAAAAAACAAAACACTGTGCATAGGAGTCCACAACTTTGCAATGCAAAGCCAACTTCACCATCTGCACTGCCACTGCAGCACATAGATCTTGGTGCAGGAAAGTCACCAAGACTTAAAGCAATATCAGAGAAAGCTGCATTCCAGCCTGCTCTCCCAAGATGGGCTGCAGAAAGACTGTAAGTTAGGTCACTTGATTTCCACATTAACTCCACTGTATAGAAGTGGGCTGGGCATGAGGACTAATGCAGCAATAAGCTCAGTCTTCTGTCCAAATCTTGAGGCTTGACACAAGCATGAAAATGGAATAGTAAATATCTTTTTTAAGAGGTTCCACTTCTATCAAATATATAGATATACTTATCTCCAAGATTGCAGCTGCCAGCCAAAATTCTATCCATCTCAAAAGATGAACAGTTAATGTGATAATGAGAACATATCCTCTGAAATTAATTCCCTGGTACTCAGTTTGTCCAGCTTCAATTCATGGATTCTGCACAAACTGTTTCAGGGAACATCTCAGCTTAAGATGACTTGTTAATAAACAAGATGATGTTATGAACACAAATTAGAAAAGGTCAATAAACAAACTCTATTTTAATAACATTAAACATTTTCATTTTTTTCCCCAAGAGAAAGAGAGAAGCTAGTAAATATGTTCGTATGAAAACTCTATCTCCACTTATTCTGCTGCTGTTAATCAACATGCTTAATTGCTGTGGGGCAAGCCTATTTGTATCAGCTGAGGATGAGCCTCTGCTAGATTTGATTCACCACTGGATATCAAAGACAACTATGCTAAAAGAGCAATAATAATACTGATACCAAACAAGAATAAGTTGCAGGAGAATGTGACCTCCAAGAAAAGCAGAGTGCACCTGAGGCAGGCAGCCTTACTGTTTTAGAAATAGTTCCTAATTAAATCTTCCACCTGTAAGTGGATGAATGGACTTCTTTTGATTGCACAATGAGCAGGAGAGCCTAACAGTCTGATAAAACATCTTACCCCCTGCACAGCCATTTGCAGCCTATCCACAGAGTGCCTTTTGAGGTACTGCCATGTTAAAAATGTTCTTGCCTGAAGGTATTACCTCACTGTGGCAGATGTCACCAACTTGGCACTATCTGAAAGGTCTATTAAAAGCAATGCAATTAATTACTCGGGTTGTCATCGCAGCACTGCTTTTAAGATATTTAAAATGGTTTATTATTGATAGCCTAATCCTGGAAAGTGCTGAGCATCTTCACTTCTACCCATGGACACCCAGAGAGATGAGGGCTGGAGCAGAGGCTCCCCAGATGCTGGACACCCTCAGGTCTGCTCTGGCTGCTCTGTGTGCCTCCACTGCTGGGAGACCTGACCCAGCAGCAGGCACTGGGCTGCCAATGGTACTCAGAGTCTTGAGTCCTGTCTGCTTTAGTGATCTGAGGAAATTGTATTGATGGCCAGCCTGTAGAGACACCAGAAAAAGTGGGTGAGGAAAGACAAATATTTGTCTTTTTGCTTCCCAATACCCACATCTGTGATTAAATACATATACATTCATAAGCAATATATCAACTTAATTTCCCCCAAATTGAGTCTGTTTTGCCCATGATGGCAACTGATCTATCTCCATCTTGACATCTTGACTCACAAGCTTTCTCATTCCTGTTTTTCCTACTTGATCCCCTATCCTGCTGAGGCATTGAGTAGTAAGAAAGTAGTTGGGTTGACTTTTTGCTACTAACTGGGGTCACCTGACCACACTTAGGTACCAAACATGATATGGACAAATGGTGAACCAGGAGCTACAGCACCTACGGAAGCTCCTGGTGCCCACTGAGCACTGAAAGCAGCTGGAGCTGGAAGAATGCTTCTGCTGGCCCATCTGGCTGCATCTTATTTCTTTATGAGGAAGAAATATCTCTTGGGTTCTGCTATGTTTCTGCCAACACATTGGACTTCCATCTTGGGACACAAAACACAATATAGCAAAGCATCCTTGAAAAATTGCTCAGCTTTCCTATGTGGCAGTAATGACTACAACTATTGCCAATAAAATGAAGAGGAACAAATTCTGGGAGAGGAAAAAATATCTATAGGTGTACAGAGGATAAGTGAAGTAAGAGTAATTTGCTGCATGGGTCTCTAAAGTACAAATCTTTGGTTAATTTCAGCTGTTGATATTGCTGTTGTTTGTTTCAGTTTAGACATATCACCAAGAGACAAAAAGGAAGCGTCAGATATAGATTATAGAAGAGAATTTACACACAGCTTCCTCTTAAATTGATTCAAATTGTCTCAGATATCAACCAGGTCATGCAAAGTAAGATATCCCTAACCACTGCAAGCAGTCAGAATAAATATGGATTTGAAATGAAAAAATGGTTAGTCTCCAGGCACCTCTTTCCCAGCATCCTCGATGGTATGAAAGAGAGTAATTGGCACATTAACAACAGTCATGTACAGTATTAAACTCTAACTTCTCAAGTGCTACCAAGGGCTGAGAAATATTACAGGGAAACAGTAAGTCTGGTTAAAGCAGAAGGAAGATATAACTCATGCAGGTTTAGGACCTACTGAATTGGTCTAGGGCACAAAACCCTGGATGCAATGATACTTCAGATCTTTTTTAACTGAGAATTCAATCTAGCATCTTTTCTTTTCTTTGCAGGAAACCATTGATGCCACAGATAATTCTGAAAGACCAGAGAGAGAGATGTGAAAAGAACCAATAACGAAAGTACTAGAAAATTCTAGAAGTGAAAGGAGGGAGCTACCAAAGCATCAGTGCACCACACAGTTTGGCAGCTAGGTAAACTGACGCATTTTGGGCTGCAAGCACATACAGACCAGTGCTGTGCCAAGACACACAGGCCAGACCTGAATGAGGTACTTGTGTTACCAAAGCTCCTGTGGCCACATGGCCTTGATACCCCATTCAGTCTTAAAGGAGCAGGACACATAAGCTCAGCAGCAGGCAGTGATAGAGCAGCACACCAGCAGGGCTGCACGCTGGCAGAACCCAGGCTGACTAATATTCAGCTACAATGCAGGTTTCAAACCCATGAATGTTTTTCCAGCTGTTGAAAGAAGGACTGCAGAAAAAGAAATCATCCCAGTATCACTTATCTACACAGGCTGCCATGGCTGCCTGCACTAACTTCAACAGCTACAGTGTTCCTTGTAGCTGCTAGAGGACATCCCAGGCATTGCCTGCTTGCAGCAGTAGTGTCCCCAATGAGATAGACTCTCATTTGAAATTGGAAAAATTTGTCCTTGGTCCCAAAGTAGTCAGTGTGGATGAGCAGGCCAGCCTTACATCTATGAAATTACGTGATAAGTTTACCATTGGAGTGCCATTCTATTCCGCAATGATTTCTATTTTTCTTTTCTTTCTTGGGAGTTGAAAGAAAAGGATTAACGGGAATTCAGTTGACCTTCTGTTGTTAAAGGCCAAATCTTACTTG